ATCATTCAACCGTCACTCCCGCCCTCCCTCCCTGAAAGCGCCGGCAGGCTATCAGTTCGCGCACTTTTCTGGTGAGTGACAGCGCGGACGCCACAGCACTGCGAGCATGGAGCCCGCTGTGACCATCGCTGCAGTTATGGCTGTTGTCAACTCCTCGCACCTTATCATCCACCTTTTTCAGAGTCGGATGCTGAGAAATCGAGCGAGGAGGCTACGGCAGCGCGGTGAAGACATTAAGTCTGAGAGGGGCACAGACCTCTCACAAAGCATGGGACCCCGCGCTGTGAACATCATAGTGGCAATGGGTCATGTTGATGCTGTGGAATGGCGATTCTGGGCCCGGGAAACAAGCACGGACTGGTGAGACCGCATAGTGTTGCAGGTCTGGGATGAATCACAGTGGCTGCGAAACTTTAGGATGCGTAAGGGAACTTTCCTGGAACTTTGTGAGTTGCTGTCCCCTGCCCTTTAGCGCAAGGACACCCAGATGCGAGCAGCCCTGACTGTCCAGAAGCGAGTGGCCATAGCCCTCTGGAAGCTTGCAACGCCAGACCGCTACCGGTCAGTCGTGAACCACTTTGGCGTGGGCAAATCTACCGTGGGGGTTGCTGTGATGCAAGTAGCCAACGCAATCATTGAGCTACTGCTGTCAAAGGTAGTGACCCTTGGAAACGTGCAGGTCATCATAGATGGCTTCGCTGCGATGGGATTCCCAAACTGCGGTGGGGCTATAGATGGAACTCACATCCCTATCCTGGGACCGGACCACCAGGCCAGCCAGTACATTAACCGAAAGGGCTACTTTTCAATGGTGCTGCAAGCACTGGTGGACCATAGGGGACGTTTTACAAACATCAACGTCGGATGGCAGGGCAAGGTTCATGACGCTCGGGTTTTCAGGAACTCTGGTCTGTTTAGACGGCTGCAGGAAGGTATTTACTTCCCGGACCACAAAATAACTGTTGGGGATGTGGAGATGCCTATAGTGATCCTCGGGGACCCAGCCTACCCGCTAATGCCCTGGCTCACGAAGCCCTATACAGGCGCCCTGGACACTGAAAAAGAACTCTTCAACTACCGTCTGAGCAAGTGCAGAATGGTGGTGGAGTGTGCTTTTGGACGTCTCAAGGGGAGATGGAGAAGCTTACTGACTTGCTCTGATCTCAGCGAAACCAATATCCCCATTGTTATTGCAGCTTGCTGTGTGCTCCACAATCTGTGTGAGAGCAAGGGGGAGACCTTTATGGCGGGGTGGGAGGTTGAGGCAAATAGCCTGGCTGCTGATTATGCCCAGCCTGACAGCCGTGCGATTAGAAGAGCCCAGCGGGACGCGCTGTGCATCCGGGAGGCTTTGAAAGCTAGGTTCCTCAGTGAGCAGGGTAACCTGTGACTATTAAGTTTGTTTAAAGAGAAGCTGAACCTGCCCCCGTTTCTTTACCCACTTAATGTTGACTATCCTCTGCAGTTACATACCCCGTTCACCCCCTTCCAACACACATTTAAAAAGAAAATAAATGGAACTTTGTTAATTAACACCGTTTTCTTTATTACGGATTTTGCGGTAAAGTGTTGAAACTGGGACGCAGACTGTGGTGGGGAGCGGGTGTAGTGATGGAAAGGACGCTTCTAAACTCGAGGAATGACAGGCTCCTGCTCCTAGAGTGGTCCGCAGTGGTGGACTGGTTGTTTCAACGGGGCCTGCCACCCCTCCTTTTCGGGACTCTGTGTGTGGGGGCTATGTGACTTTGTGGCGGGGGAGGACGGTTACAGATCCCCTGCTGCGTGGCTCTGTCATCCAGGCTAAGGACCGCTGCATAAGATCTCTAATCACCCTCCCCCTGCCACAAAGTCACATAGCCCCCCCCCCAGAACATGAAAACCACCTCCCAGACTGACCAGGGTGCCTAGTGACTGCAATGTGTGTGTGACCTTCTGCTGAACCTGCCCCCGTGTCTGTACCCTGGTAAAGGTGACTGTCCTCTCCAATTACCAACCCCCTTCCCCCCCTTCAAACACACTCTCCTCTAAAAGAACATGACGGAAACAGTAATTAACAGAAACGTATTTTTTATTAGCAACTACACAGTTAGGGGATGAAACTGGGACGGGGGCTTGGGTGAGGCGGGAAGGAAAGGACTTATCAAATTTTTGGGAATGAGAGCCTTTTGGTACTTGAGCAATCTGCAGGGGTGGAGTGACAGTTTTCACGGCCCCTGCCGCCCCTCCTTCTTGGGACTTTGGGTGAGGGGGTATGGGACTTTGTGGCGGGGGAGGGCGGTTAGAGAGAGACTGCAGCGGGGCTCTGTCCTCCTGCCTCCGGCCCTGCAGAACATCCAGAAGGCGCCGGAGCGTGTCCGTTTGCTCCCTCATTAGTGCAAGCAGCGTTTGAGTCGCCTGCTGGTCTTCCTGCCGCCACCTCTCCTCCCGTTGGCTGTGTGCTCGCTGGTATTGCGACATGTTCTCCGTCCACTGGGTCTGCTGGGCCACCTCGACTCGGGAGCAGCCCATAAGTTCTGAGAACATGTCGTCCCGTGTCCTTTTCTTTCTCCGCCTAATCTGCGCCAACCTCTGGGAGGGGGATGCCGGGGTAGGTCGGGAGACATTCGCAGCTGTGGGATGGGAAAAAGGGAGTGAATTCCTCACAAAGATACATTTTTGTGAACAATGAACATCGTCTTTCTCTGTGAAGAAGACCATGCACAGCACCTATTACATGCGCACTCAGGACAAGGTCGAATTTTCGGCCTTCGCATTCAGTGCCTGAGGTCTTGCAGTGGAGATCAGACAAGCGGGGCAGGACAGCGGAATTCGGGTAGCAGGCTGACATGGTAAGCCGTAGACTTTTGGCTGCTTAAAACTTAATTTATAGCAGTGCCGTCCTTTCACGTTCAAAGCAATGCTCCTAGCGTTGGCCAGTTCCTGCTGCCGGCAATCCGGCAAGCATGAACTCTGCCCCTGTCCCACCCCCTCGTGGCTGTCCCAGGGAAAGATCCCTGTATGCTGCCCCTCTCCCGCCTCCACCACGTGGCTGTAAACCGCCGGTTACAGTTATGTAAAGGAACAGGCAAGCAGTCCCAATACTAACATTGCCCTAATTCAAAGCAGGTCACCATGAGCGACATCACTCTGATGAGGATTTCTGACACAGAGAAAGACCGCATGCTGCGTGAAAGCCAGCAAAAACCAGGGCCGTATGCTGCCATGCTCTGCGAGGCAATGATCCCAGAGTACTTGATGATAGCCTGGTGCGGACAAGTTTCCTACCACGGATGACGCAATAAGGCCGCTCTCCCCAGGAACCTGATGCAAAGGCTTTCCAATTACCTCCAGGAGAGCTTCGTGGAGATGTCCCATGAGGATTTCAGCTCTATCCCCGGACATATAGACCTTATTTTCCAGTAGCTGCACTGCCAAGGACTAAAACGTTAAGCGCCTAGGGCAAACTAATCATGAAAAACCCATTGTTAATATTCCTGTTCTGTTCAAAATAAATGTTTACATGTTTAAAACACTTACCGACTGATCTTTCCCCTGATTCAGGGTCTGGGTTAATGCCTGGGGAGGGTTGGTAGGGGATCTCCGTCAGGGTGATGAAGAGATCCTGGCTGTCGGGGAAATCAGCATTGTAAGTGCTGTCGACTGCTTCGTCCTCCTCATCTCCTTCCTCATCTTCCCCGTCCGCTAACATCTCCGAGGAAGCAGCCGTCGACAATATCCCATCCTCAGAGTCCACGGTCAGTGGTGGGGTAGTGGTGGCGGCCGCACCTAGAATGGAATGCAGTGCCTCGTAGAAATGGCATGTCTGGGGCTGGGATCCGGAGCGTCCGTTTGCCGCTTTGGTCTTCTGGTAGCCTTGTCTCAGGTCCTTGATTTTCACGCAGCACTGCATTGCATCCCGGCTGTATCCTCTCTCTGTCATGACTTTTGAGATCTTCTCATAGATCTTCGCATTCCATTTCTTGGAGCGCAGCTCCGAAAGCACGGACTCATCGCCCCACACAGCGATCAGATCCAAGACTTCCCGATCAGTCCATGCTGGGGCCCTCTTTCTATTCTGAGATTGCATGGTCACCTCTGCTGGAGAGCTCTGCATCGTTGCCAGTGCTGCTGAGCTCGCCACGATGTCCAAACAGGAAATGAGATTCAAACTGGCCAGACAGGAAAAGGAATTCAAATTTTCCCGGGGCTTTTCCTGTGTGGCTGGTCAGAGCATCCGAGCTCGGACTGCTGTCCGGAGCGTCAACAGGGTGGTGCACTGTGGGATAGCTCTCAGAGCTATTAGCGTCGAATTCCATCCACACCTACCCTAATTCGACATGGTCATGTCGAATTTAGCGCTACTCCCCTCGTTGGGGAGGAGTACAGAAATCGAATTAAAGAGACCTCTATGTCGAACTAAATAGCTTCGTTGTGTGGACGGGTGCAGGGTTAATTCGATTTAACGCTGCTAAATTCGACATAACCTCCTAGTGTAGACCAGGCCCTAGAGACTTTAACTTGGAGTCCTTTCCTTAGCGAAGTACTGAGGTTGCCTATCTGCTGTGCGCTATTACCCTGTCTGCCTCGGGAAATGGGCTTCTGTTGGAAACTTTGTCTGAAGGGCAGAGCTTTTTCTTTAACAGCCAATATTTCAAAGTTCTCTAAAATCCATGTGTATCCTTTAAATATTGCTGTGTCATATGAGGGCCAGGGGAGAGTTAGTGGTTCAAGTTGTGGTCATTTGGTGAAGGCATTGCTCAGATATAGCTCTCCCTCAGCAACAAAGAGCTGATTGTCACAAAGTGCTCTAAAATATATATATATATGAGGCTCCAATAACCTACAGAAGGTCAATAAACTTTTCTCACCTGTTCTCTCCATCTCACCCCATTTCACTTTCCCACCTACTCTGTGACACCCCTCACCCCCACCTTCACCCCCATTCCCTCACCTCATTCTGTGCATGTGAAGAGCTGATCCAAGCAGCAAGGGGACCAGCCATCAACCAGACACAAACAGCCATGGCCTCAGCAGCTCCCCTAGAGAAAGTGATAGAAGAAGCCGCTTGTTCCATCTGCCTGGAGTATCTGACAGAGCCGGTGACCATAGACTGTGGGCACAACTTCTGCCGAGCCTGCATCACCCAGTACAGTGAGCAAAGGGAGCCTGAATCAGGCACAAAGATGATGGGCAGTAAGTTCTATGGGCTCATAGTGCCTGGGCACCAGGAATATTCCTGGCCTGGCTCCAGCAAACTTTGAGGCTGGGTGTCTCCCTCAGCCCCGCCTTCTGCCCCCAGGTGCTCCCCCCTCCCCAGGTGATTTAAAACAGCCCAGGGCCCCCACCCACCACCAGCAGCACAGCGGAGCTGAGTGGCTTCCTGCCTGCTTGCTCCACATGGCTGCTGGCCTCTCCCTGCGGCCCCTGGGCTGGGTGGGTCTGTGTCACGCCCCAATTACCCCTGTGGCCAATAGGAAGCTGCAGGGGCAGTGCCTGAGGGTAGGAGCACACGGAGGGCCCCTGGCCCATCCTGCCTAGGAGCCCAGGGCAAATGCTACACTCCTTACCCCCTCCCAAAGCCTGCACCTGTACCCCTTTTCCACAGCCCCCTCCTGCCCCCAAACTTTGTCCCAGAGCCTTCACCCCCTCCCATCCCCAAACTCTGTCCCAGAGCCTGCACCCCCAGTCTGGAGCCTGCACCCAGCACCCAAACTCTGTCCCAGAGCCTGCACCCCCACCCCCTTCCCACACACCCCATCTGCCCCCAAACTCCCTCCCAGAGCCTGCACCCCTCACCCCCTCCTAAACCCCCCCTTGCCCCACCCCAGAGCCTGCACCCAGCACCCAAACTCTGTTCCCAAGCCTGCACCCCCTCCCATCCCCAAACTCCTTCCTAGAGCCTGCACCCCCAGCCTAGAGCCTGCACCCCCAGCCCAGAGCCTGCACCTTTCACCCCCTCCTGCACCCCAATCCCCTGCCCCAGCCCAGGGCCTGCACCCTAGACCTCCTCCCCCAACCCAAACTCCCTCCCAGAGCTTTAGGCAGGTGGGGGGTGGAGTTGGGGGAGGGGAGGGCAGGTTCTGGGCATCAAATTTTCTACAAAACTGCCGCCCCTGCAAAGATCCCCTGTCCCCAGTGCTGAGCGCTGTTCCAGGAAGGGAAACTCCAGCACAACAGGCAGCTCGCTGATATTGTAGAGAACATCAAACAATTGGGATTAAAGTCAGGGAATGCACAGAAGGAGAATCTTTGTGAGAGACATGAGGAGAAGCTCCAACTCTTCTGTGAGGAGGATGGAGAAGCCATCTGTGTGGTTTGCAGGATGTCCCGGGCTCACCGAGTTTACACAGTAGTCTCCATACAGGAGGCTGCCCAGCATTACAAGATGAGAATTACTGCTGCTCTTGGTGAAGTAACCCCTTAAAGGCCCCATTGTGTTTCTCCCCAGAGCCAGCTGCTGGGGGCTGAGTGGGAACTCACATGGCTTAAGGGAGGTGGATCCAGGTGCTGCCAGAGTGGACAGTGAAGGGTCCGGCTCCCTCCCCCAACCCCTGCCAGACAGGTAGTGAAGAGTGGAGCCAGCCGTGTCCATCTCTGTGCCAGGCTGGGCATCCAGTGCCAGGTGACCACATCCACCTTAGAGCACCTGAGTGGGGGAAACCAGGGCTTGTGCCCTTCCCTCTTCAGTGTGTGGGTGAGGCCGGGGGGGTTGGCTCAGACAGTGGGTTTGGGGCTTGTTGGCACCTTTGCGACATCAGGAAGGTGGCACCATGGATTCTGCATTACATGGATGTCTCCCAGGGAAACACAGACATGTCCCAGTGTAGCTTTCCCCAGCCTAGGCAGGATGTGTGTGTGGCTTGTGGAGATCCATGAAGTTGTCTGAGGAGGGGCCAAATGGAGGGGAAGTGGAGCCTGTGGGGAGCAGGCAAAGGAGGGGGATCCAGTCAGTGTGGGACATAAGTAGCTTTGGCACTGAGATAAGTGACTTCCCCCAAACAAGGATCACCTGAGAGCTGAGGCAATGGGAGAAGGGACATAGAGAAATGTTATGTTTGGACTAGCAGAGAAGGCAATAGACAGACACAGGGAGCTGACAGGTAGACAGTTTCTGCTGTGGTGGCTTTATTGTTCAGCTGCAAATCTGAAACTAACATGAAAGCACCACTTTGCACTGGAAAGGGCGGAGTGCTCAAATATTTAAAGGAACAGTTCATCACATTCACCCACCCTGCTTTAAAAAACTTTCCAAACATGTATACATTGTTAATTACATGGCTAACATGAAACACTGTATAACCTAAGTAACAATTGAAGGTGGACTATTGCATACTTTTAAATGGCAAGGGATCATTCTTCTGTGGAACAGCAGCACTGTAACTAAACAATGTATAAGTTCAGGTGCACAGCTGAGTATTCTCTTGTGATGGTGGTGTGGCAGTGTCCTGAACTACAGGAACAGTCAATGGTAAGGAATCAACTGCATCTGGTATGTGATGTTTTGTGATTTGATGTGGACAGGAAACAGCTGAACTTCTAGCTATTGCAGGTCCTTATCTGCCCCCCATCACCGCACTACCTGAGCACCTCACAAACTTCAATGTGCTTAGCCTCACCATACTGCTGAGCAGAGACAACCTGTACCTGCTGATGGGGGAGGGCAGCTGATGTTACTGAGAATGCTCAGTAAAGCCAAGCAGCAAATGGGGGGGGGGGGGCTGACCCCATGTGCCCCCCATACAATGCCTCTGCTGCTGTGAGATGGGGGAAGGGCTGTTACCCCCATTTCAGAAAGGGGAAAGTCAGGGCCAGACAGAATAAGTGACTTGAGTGAGTTTACACAGAGCAGAGAATGGAACCTGAATCTGCTCAGGGTAACTTAGCGCCTTAGCTACTGGGCAATCTTTTTCCTCTGCAGACAGAACCTGGGAGAAGAGGATAAGGGGACAAACGGACACACACACACGCACAGAGTTTGTCTGATAATCATCTCACTGATTATCCCACAGTCACTAAGCCAGTCAGTGCAGAATCAGGTGATGTCACCAGTCCTTGATATGGTTCTTCAGGGAGTCTCTACTACCCCATGACTGGCTTTCTTTAGTTAGCCTCTGGCATTTAATTAGGCCTAGTGGTCTGCATCAGTGCCTTTGGGCTGTGTTTCTAGAGGCAGCCAGGTACAGGTACATCACCCCCTTTGCTGTCCAAGGCCTTTCTGCTCCACTTCTTTCTCTGTGCTCTCTCCAGACTGCTTGCCTGCAGGCAGGAGAGGCTCCCCTGCCCCTACAAACCTCTGCTCAGTATGGGGTTTGTAGGTCCCCTTACAAGTAGACTTAAGACTTCAAAAGCAGAGAAGGCGGATGATGTAGGAACACCTCCCAATGGCTGCAAAGGTGGATGAAGGCTGCAATGAAGGAGAGACCCCGGTCACCTCAGACCTCCTTGCCACCAGACACTGGTACCTCTTCCACCAAGATTTGTGTGGCTGCTGGTGTGCAATGGCTCCCGCACATTAAACTACTCATGCACAGCCTTCTTCACAGGAAGAACTTTTTTCCCAACTCCACCCATAAAAGTCCTTAGGCAATGGGTGAGTGGTGACAGGGACAGATGAAGTGATCACCAGGAGTCCCTAGTCACAGACCTACATTCAGGTGGTGACCGCAAGATGGTCATCACATGCCCCTGGACTGGGATAGAGGGGCATTTTTGGCAGCAGCAGTCACGACTGAGCAGGCCTTTTTAGGAACCCCTCTGTTCACCCCATATGGGGAAGAGGCTAGAGAAGGTGCCCCAAACATAGGCTATTCCACCGTACCTGACTGGATAATCATGTCCAGAGGGATCATGCCTAATGCAATTGAAAAATAAAAATGTTTCTTGCAATTTGGAATGTCTGTACCCTATTAGACGACTCAAAAAGTGAAAGACCCAAACGCAGAACAGCAATTGTCTCCCGAGAACTCTCGAGGTACAACATCGACATTGCTGCTCTCAGCGAAACAAGATATGCAGATGAAGGTCGTTTGAGGGAAGAGGTTGGCAGTTACACTTTCTTCTGGAAAGAAAAACCAGCAAGTGGCAGGCGAATAAACGGTGTTGGCTTTGCAATCAAGAACCTTCTAGTCAATTGCCTGACTGAGCTCCCCGTCGGCATCAACGAGTGCCTTATGACCCTCCACATCCAATTGGTCAATAAGTCATTTGCCACCATCATCAGTGCATGTGCACCAACACTTGATGCTGAGGAAGAGCAGAAAGAATCCTTCTACACTGACCTTGATAAAATTCTGTCATCCATTCCAAAAACAGATAAGATAATCCTCTTAGAGGACTTTAACTCAAGAGTTGGCTGAGATTGTAATGTATGGAGTAGCACCATTGGGAAGGAAGGAGTGGGCAAGACCAATTCCAAGGGCACTCTTCTACTTAGCAAATGCACAGAGCATGACATTGTGATCATAAACACAATCTTCAGACAACACAACGAGTCCAAAACAACTTGGTAATACCCCCGTTCAAAACAATAGCACCTCCTCAATTATGTCCTTGTAAGAACACAGGATCTAAGAGATGTCCAAATGACCCGTGTCATGAGAGGAGCTGATGATTGCTGGACTGACCACTGCCTGGTGAGATCAGTCTTGTCCATCAGGCAATATAACATCCAAAGACTTCAATCCTCAGTGCACCAAGAGAACTTTCAAGCACTCCTCAGTGAAAAACTGACCATATGCACACCTGGAAATGACAACACAAGTGTCGAAGAAGACTGGGAAGCCCTAAAACAGACCATCCATGAGGCTTATGAGGAATCCATTGGCCTTGCTACCCACCACCATCAGGACTGGTTTCACAACAACAACATGGAGATTACAGCCCTTTTGGACGAGAAGAGAAAAGCTTTCTGTGACTGGCAAAACCAACCACTATGCAGTCAGAAGCAGAGCTCTTTCCATCAGCTCAAAGCTGAAGTTCAAAGGAGGATCCGAGAAATCAAAAACAAATGATGGGAGGACAAAGCAAAAGAAATCCAAACATTCGCTGACAGACATGATTTGTGGAGCTTTGTTTGTGATACAAAAACCCTGTACGGACCAAGGTCATGTGGCCTCATGCCTCTGAGATCCGAAGATGGTAGTACCCTTCTTAAAGAGAAGGAATCCCTCAAAGAACACTGGAAGGAACACTACCAAAAGCTTCTAAATTGAGAATCGACTGTGACTGATGACATCATCGACTCCATCTCTCAGCACACAATCTGGGAAACTCTTGCCAACCCAGCAACACCTGAGGAGGTCTGCAAAGCAATTAAACAAATGAAGAACAATAAAGCACCAGGTCCTGATGGCATACCAGCTGAAATACTGAAAGTGGAGGGAGGCACAGTGACTAACAAGCTTCACTTGCTGCTCCTCAAAATCTGGTGCACCAAAGAAATCCCTGCTGACTTACATAATGCTAACATCGTCACCATTTTCAAGAAGGGAGACAGGGCCAACTGTGGCATCTATGGAGGCATTGCTCTCCTCTCCAACGCTGGGAAGATTCTTGCTAGAATCTCACTGAATCGCCTGCTCCCTCTTGCAGAAGAAGTACTTCCACAGTCCCAGTGTGGCTTCACATCACGAGGCACAACCGACATGATTTTTGCAGCCAGGCCAGGAAAAATGTCAAGAACACCAGGAGCTGTATATGGCCTTTATCGATCTGACCAAAGCCTTCGATTCTGTTAATTCTGTCAGGCTCGGTGGAAAGTCATATCAAAGTTTGGCTGGCCAAACAAATGTATCACCATTGTAAGACTCCTCCACGACCAGTGACTGCCTCCATCCTGTGCAGTGGCTCTCCCTCTGAGCCCTTTCTCATCCGAACTGGTGTAAAACAAGGCTGTGTACTGGCACCCACCGTCTTAGCAGCTATGAAGACAAAACTTAACCATCCTCTGAGAACCAGGAAAATAATATTTTTTTTTAAATCATCTTCCTCTCCAAGTGCAAGCTGCTATTCTTTGACCTGCCTTTGCTAGTAACTACACAGAGCAGAGAATTCATTAATTTTAAAAATCGACAAGCAATTATTCCTCTGGGAAAGGGAGCAGAAAAAGTAGAAAGGTACTGTGACGGGTTGGATCACAGAAACCCCCTTGGGAGCTGCCACCCGATGTGCCAAGACTACCCCTGCTTCTGTTTTCCCTGCCAGCTCAGGACTCCAGCACCCCGTCTTGCTGAATTAGACACTCCAGTCCACTTCAACACAGACCCAGGGTCTGAATCACTTGTCCCAAAACTGCAAGTTTACCCAAAAACAGCTCACAGGAGTGCGCTTGTCTTTAGCACTCAGATGCTCAACTCCCAATGGGGTCTAAACCCAGATAAATCCGTTTTACCCTGCATAAAGCTTATGCAGGGCAAACTCATAAATTGTTCGCCCTCTATAACACAGATAGAGAGATATGCACAATTGTTTGCTCCCCCAGGTATTAATACATACTCTGAGTAAATTACTAAATAAAAAGTGATTTTATTAAATACAGACAGTAGGATTTAAGTGGTTCAAAGTAGTAACAGACAGAACAAAGTAAGTCACAAGCAAAATAAAATAAAATGCGCAAATCTATGCCTAATCAAACTAAATACAGATAATCTCACCCTCAGAGATGCTTCAGTAAGTTTTTCTCAGACTGGACACCTTCCAGGCCTGGGCACAGTTCTTTCCCCTGGTACAGCTTTTGTTCCAGCTTAGGTGTTATCTAGGGGCTTCTCCATGATGGCTCCTCTCCTCCCCTCTCTTCTGTTCCACCCCTTTATATATCTTTTGCATAAGGCGGGAACCCTTTGTCTCTCTGGGTTTCCACCCCCCCTCACTGGAAAAGCACCAGGTTAAAGATGGATTCCAGTTCAGGTGACATAATCACATGTCACTGCAAGACTTCATTACTCACTTGCCAGCACACACATATACAGGAAGACTCAAAGGTAAATACAGCCATCTGCAGACAATGGGAGTCATCAAGATTCCAAACCATCCTTAATGGCCCACACTCTACATAATTACAATAGGCCCTCAGAGTTACATTTTATATTTCTAGTTTTAGATACAAGAGTGGTACATTTATACAAATCAGATGATCATACTCAGTAGATTATGCACTTTGTAATGATACCTTACAAGAGACCTTTTGCACGAAACTATCCCAGTTACATTATATTCACTTATATTTTTATAAAACCATATAGACTGCACAACGTCACAGGTACCACATATGACAGATGTCAGTCAAGCCACTGAATGTGTGATGGGAAAGAGCTCAGATACACTGTGTCCATCACCATGGTAAGGTCTGGTTGACACACAATTTTGGTACCGATATAACTATGTCACTTATGGGTGTGATTCTCTTACTGCTCTAGTTATACTGGTACAAGCTCTAGAGTGCATGCAGTTATATTCAGATAAATGTGCTTATACCAGGCCACAGTCAGGCCAAAAGCTTGGGAGCTGGTGGTAGAGTTAGGCTGACAAGCAAAATGGCTCTCTATCTCCCAGAAGCAGGATTAGTTGAGGCAGCACCAGGCAAACAAGGTACATTGTCAAAATCTAAATGCCAGCCTGATGGAGGCTGGATTGGCTTTATGCCAATCCAGGGGGGAGGGATAGCTCAGTGGTTTGAGCATTGGCCTGCTAAACCCAGGGTTATGAGTTCAATCCTTGAAGGGGCCATTTGGGAACTGGGGTAAAAATCTATCTGGGGATTGGTCCTGCTTTGAGCAGGGGGTTGGACTAGATGACCTCCTGAGGTCCCTTCTAACCCTGATATTCTATGAATTTATGATTAGAGCTAAAAGATAGAAATGAATTATAGTGAAAGACAACAATAACAGGAAAAAAAATAACAAAAACCCTCTCTCGTATTCCTTTGGGATTTTTCATTTCCTTCATCCATGTTTTGCCGTTGTCTGTAATGGCAACCATGCAAGATTCTAGGAGTCCTTCCCCAAAAAATCCAAATTATAACTCTATCCTATATCCATGCATATAGGTCATTAAACCTTTGGATTTACTGGAAATTGATTTAATCAGGCCATTACCAATAATGAAGAACAGTTACAAGTATTGACCCCTACTGTTTATTTCTCAAAATGGTTAGAAGCATTTCTGTAATAGTTTGTACCTCTATGTTCACCCCTTTTACAGGATTATGATAAATTTTGTACGAAGTATGCCTTGTGAGGTATCATTTGAAAACTCATAATTTGCTGACCATTATTGTCCTGGTAAAATATGTGGCAACATTCTATATAAAGATAAGATTCTACTGTATGATATTACTAAGACATGTCCGAAGTCTGTAGAGCAGTGACAAACCAATTCCTCAGAGATAAAAGGCTAGGTGATGCCTCAGCCAGGAGTTCACAAAATCAAACGAACCATCACCTGATTAAGCGGCCATTCTTTGGCAGGAAAGAGGGTGTGGGTGAAAAATCTACATCTTGACAGAGAAAGATCTTGGGGTTCCCATCCACACAGACTTTCTGTCTCCTAAACCTCAGCTGGAGATGATTCTCAAAGAAGAAGAAAGAACTATAAGAAGAGAGAGCAGAAGCCTCAAATGGTCTCTCCCTTTCTCTCTACCCATGGCACTGACAACACTTGAAAAACAAAGGAATCAGCATTGGACTGGGGGAGGGATCCTGACTGAAAGGAAGTCAGCCAGTAAGACTGCTGAAACACCTGGTGAGAGAGATCTTTGCTTTGAATTCACTTTAGGTTGTTAAGTTAGGCATTAGTTGCATTTTACTTTTATTTTCTTGTAAACAATTCTAACTTTTATGCCTCATTACTTGTAGTCACTTAAAATCGATGTCCTATAGTTAATAAACTTGTTTTATTGATTTGTCTTAACCAGTGTGTTTGAACTGAAGTGTTTGAGAAACTCCATTTGGGATAACAGGATTTGTGCATATCATTTTCTAGTAACAAAATGATGGACTTTATATGTGCATGTATTGTCCAGGAGAGAGCTGGGCAGAACAAGACTCACGTTTCTGGGGAGAATCTGGGACTGGGAGTTTGCTGGTGTTGCTCTGCAGTGTAATTCAAGGGTGGCTGGCTATAGCACTGATATAGTATAGCTGGGAGTAACTTACATGCTGGAGGCTGTGTGTGAGCAGACCAGGAGTGGTGGGTGTCACAGCAAAACGGTGTGAAAGTTACCGCAGGCTGGAGAACTGAGGGGACACAGCTGTTCATCAGTCCAGATTGTATCCTGGGTAATGTCACAATTTCCACTTAAGAATATGACATTATGTGAGGTGATGAGGAATATCTGTAGAATTATATATTGACATGGATG